AGTTTTCATACTTGATTGTACATCGGATTACCTGGGAGCATTAAAAACTCTAGAGGCATTCCAAACCAATTAAATTGAAATCACAATTAAGTCACAATCTTTCCAGGTAGAACCAGGCATCAGCTGTTCAAGCTCTCAAGGTGACTCCACTGTGCAGCCAAGCTGCACTCTAAGGGAACATTCCAGTGCAGATGGAACCAAACAGAAGTAGAATATTGGTATACACTATTTAGAAATTGAGTTTAATGAAATAAAGTATATATGTTTCCATCTTAAATATAAATTATCTTTTGTCAGAGAACCTATGACAATCAGATGCTCAGAAAATAAAAAAAAGCTTTTCTCAAATGATAATGGACCAAATAGAATAATATACCCACTGATAATAAAGGGGACACAGAAGAATGGAAAATGACTCACCTAAGTAAGAGTATCACACCACGTAAAGTCAGCTACTGTTCTTTCCCCAAACGGAAATTTGAAAGTAAAACATTCCATGAGCTGTAAAGGAATTCACTACGGAGAGGGAGGACTTCTGTTTAGAGAGCCAAATAAATGAGAGAAGTGGGTTCACCCTCAGTACTGTAGAAGAGGAGGACGAGGAACAGGATAAGACTATAACCGAGGAAAAAAGCAGAAACCTAGACCCCAAGAAACAAGCCAATAAAGCATTATGATCACAGGGGATGCCTCACTCACCTGGAGTTCCTTTCAAACACTGGGGAAAACACTTCGAAGAAATTGTCCTTTGCTTCACTTTTAGAAGGAACCGAATTATCGGAAGTAGGATCTACACTGTTAAATACTTGTCTTTTCACTGGATCAGATAGCATTTCATAAGCTGAGGAAAAAATGTAAAGTCACATTACCATAATTCTACATTTGTTTTTCCTGTGAGAAAAAATATACCCTTCTTTTAAAAAAGTTATTATTTTTTATTTAAATAAATGTGTACTTGTGGAGGGAGGGGAGTTGAATTGAGGTAACAACAGCTCTAACCCTACTGGATGTAACTGGACTTAATAATTAGGTACCTCTTCTGGAAAGGAAATGATAACACAATAGTTGAATATTCATCCCTTAAGAAAGCAAAACCGAGGAAAAAGAAATAGTTAGAAAATTAACTGTTAGATCCCAAGGCTGTAGAAGACCAAATAATGTGAGGCTTCTGGAGCATTATGTAAGATGGGGCTAGTGAGTTTGAAAGGTATGTATACAATTTTCAAAAAATGCAAAACTACATTTAATGAAACATTTAGAAATGGTAACTATATTAATTTGCATAGTGAAGATATGGTTATCAAAACAGCAATAAATAGGTGTGGCCCCCATGATAGGATATAAATTAGCAAAACATCTAAGGAACACTTAAGTCCCACAAAATATCTGAAATGGAGAAAAACCTCAGTATTATCATCATTAGGAACACTTGTATAAACTCTAGGATGAGCTTCTCATATGAATCACCTGCAGGTCTCATTAAAATGCAGTTTCAGGGGGTCTGGGGTGGGACCCGTAAGGTAAATTTCCAGAATCTCCTGCCTGGCCTTAGTCCTTTCACATATATTGCTGCTTCCAGAAGCCTCCCTGGAAAGGGGTGGAGAGAAACTGTTCTCTCCTCTTCTCTGTTGCATAATTGGTCTGGTGCCTGTCTGTTGCTCAGGACTGCCCACGGAGTTCCTCCTGGAAGGGGCGGGTGGAGAGGCCAGAGGTGCCTGAGTGCCATGGCTGCAGGGGATGGAGAGCACCAAGTGAGCTCTGGCTAGTGGGGACTGGGGAGAAAGGAGTGCGACATGCAGGTAGAGCGAGAGCGGCAGTTAGAGGGGATGGATGGAGCTAGGCCTCACTGTGAGCAATAAAAGGCTTTCTCCCAATCTATCCTTTCCTTTGATTTGGTCACATTGGTTTAGTCACCCTGAGCTGGGAACACCCCTTTCCCCCAGAGCTACATCTGGCGTTAGCAGGACTGGTGACCCTGACATCTGTCTTCATGGGTACGATGTTTGAGCACGCTGCCCCGAGAGATGGTGCGGCTGCATCACTACACTGATGATCCTATGCTCACATCTGATTCTCTTGCAGATTTAGAAGGGGCAGTTGCTAGGCTGCTGCACATCTACAGGAGACAGGATGGGCTGTGAACAGCACCAAGGTTCAGGGACCTGGTTTGTCAGTAAAGTTCTTGGGGGTTGTCTGGTTGGGTAAGCCTAAAGTTATCCTGGAAGCAGTCATAGACAAAGTCTAGGATTTCCCTACCCCTAAAACTGTGGCAGCATTACAAGAGTTTTTGAGTCTTTTGGGCTACTGGAGAGTGTTATCCCACACTTGGCACAAATTCTGAGGTCCTCATACTGATTGGTACAAAAGGGCATCAGGTGGGACTGGGATGAAACATGTGCATCTGGTTTTAGTGCTGCTAAGCAAGCAGTCAGGGCTGTGTGGGCTTTGTGTAATGGACCCATCAAGGCCCTGTGAGCTAGATGTTCATGTAATCGAAGATGGTTATGGATGGGGCCTCTGGCAGCAGCCTGAATGGACCCACCAACCTACTGGAATCTGGTCTCAACTGTGGAAAGGAGCAGGTCCAGTACACCCTGATAGAGAAGCAATAGGCTGCTGTGTACCACACCTTACTGGCTATGGAGCCCATCACCGGAACAGCTCCAACTAAGGGAATAACCACCTATTCCATTGTGGGGTGGATGCGAGACTGGACCCAAAGGCCACGGAGTGGCATGGCTCAGACACCTACACTGGCCAAAGGGGGCACATATTTACAGCAGCGTAGTACCCTCTCCACTAGCCCCTTAAGTGGAGAACTCCAATGCTTATTGGGGCCAGTGACATACACCAGTGGAAAGCAGGAAGAACTTACTTTTGAGCCATGGGTAGCTGAGAGTTCTCATTAGGAGGGAAAAGCCCCTATACCTGAGGGTGCTTGGTATACAGACGGCTCCAGTTGGGGGGGCCCTGAAGTGGAGGACTGTGGCTTTCCACACTAAGACTGAGACAATATGGATGGAGGATGGGGAAAGGAAGAGCAGTCAATGGACTGAGTTGTGAGCAGTATCACCCGTGATCACCCAGAAGCCTTCCCCAATAACTGTCTGTACTGACAGCTGGGCTGTCTATCAGGGCTTGACCCTGTGGCTACTGACATGGTATCATGCCAATTGGATTGTTGGTCACTGGCTCCTCTGAGGGGAGGGGGCTGGAGTTGTGGCAAGACCTATGGGCCTCTGGTCAGATTAAGACAACTACCATATATCATTTGCCTTTGGCATCCTCTGGGAATGATGAAGCAGACACACTGGCCCAGGTACGTTGGCTAGAAGGAAAGCCTGCTTCTAATGTAGCCCGATGGTTACATCAGCATTTATTGCATACAGGGAAAAAGACAATGTGGGCTGTAGCCCTTCAGTGGGGCTTGCTGTTGACCTTTGAAGAAGTCAGCAGAGCTCAGAGGGAGTGCCTTGTGTGCTTTAAGAGGGACTTACACCAAGTCCCGCAGCAACATGGGACAATAGTAAAGGGGCCGATACCCCTTGTCAGGTGGCAGATAGACCATATTGGGCTTCTGCCCATATCAGAAGGATATCGGTATGCCATGACTCATGAGGACACAGCTACTGGCCTGTTGGTGGCCTTTCCTGCACGTCATGCAGATCAGCAAATGACCAAGAGGGGCCTAGAGTGTCTCTCTGCAGTCTAAGGCCGGCCACAGGTGATTGAGAGCGATCAAGGCATCCACTTTACTGGACATGCGTTACAAGGATGGGTGCAGCAATTAGGGATAAGGTGGAAATTTCATGAACCATATAACCCTACTGGGGCAGGTATGATAGAGAAGTACAATGGTTTGTTGAAATCTAGCCTGAAGTCAGACACCAGTAGTCTACAACACTGGTCAGTCTGCCTATGGACAATGCTATGGCATTTCAATGAAAAGCCCCAGAAGGCGGCATTGAGCCCTGTGGACATGCTAACACACATTGCTGCCTCTCCTATACAACTATATGTGCAAACTGAAAAGGAGTTACTGAAGCCAGGATATGGCCAGCAGAGCAACATCCTGCTGCCAGCACCTACTGCATTAAACCCTGGAGACTCTGTTGAATGGACATGGCCCTAGTCCATTTTGACACATGGACTAGAGATGGCTGACACTTCTGGCACCTTGGGGAAAAGGCCTGGAAGCTGGCCTCATGTATAGTCCTGGAATAACAGCAGAGGGGCCCCCAAAGATCATGTAGTGTACACAAAACAGCCGGGAGGTAAAAGCATCTTACAGGAAAGTTTTATCTTTGTGGCCAGTGCACATTCCCCCTATAGCCCTATATATTGAATCATCTGTAACTCCAAAAGGGAAGGGTTGAAGGTCTGGTATACCAGACCAGGACGAAATACCATTCTTGCCACTGTCCTATCATAGAACCACTCTCCTGCATGCATCCTACCTACTGGACAGGATTTGCCTGTGGTATCTTTAAAACATGTGTCTTAGCACCTTTGAGGTTATTCTCTTCCACAGTCCTTGCGTCTTGGACCTGCCTCATGGCTACAGTTGGTGCCTGCTGAGTGTGTACAGAGCTCCCTGCTGGTTCAGCTGTGGACCTGCTGTGGAATGGGTGCACTATGGACTTAATCTGAGTAGGACTTTGAACCCAGCTGGCTTGAGGATTGTCATGATTTTATTGCTACCCGTATTTCTGCTGCTACTGTATGTTATTAGTCTGGTTACAGTGCTCCAGCTTTCTTGCACAGGGGCCACTGCGGAAGATGGGACTGCAAGTAGATTGTAAGACAAGAATTCTGTAGGGGTGGGTTGTGGGGTAAATTTCCAGAATCTCCCACCTGATGTTAGTCCATTGACATATATCGCTGCTTCTTGCAGCCTCTGGGGCAAGGGATGGAGAGAGCTGTTCTCTCCTTCCCTCCATTGCATAATTGGTCTGGCGCCTATCAGTCACCAGGAGCTGCCCTTGGAGTTCCTCCTGGAAGGGGTGGGTGGAGAGGTGAGCAGGAGCCATGACCACTGTGGCTGCAGGGATGGAGCACCAAGCAGGCTTTGGCTAGCGGGGACCAGGGAGGAAGGAGAGAGAGTGGCACAGGGACAGAGTGAGAGCGCAGCAGAGGCAATGAATGGAGCTGGGATGCATTGTGAGCAATAAAAGGTTTTCTCCCAATCTGTGCTTTCCCTCTAGTGATTTCAGTCACACCAGCTTATTTGCTCCTGATGGGAACATGCTTTCCCCCAGAGCCTCAGACCTGAGTGCCTGCATTTCTGACAAGTTTCTGGGACTGCTGTTGCTGCTGGTTAGGAGGACCTGACTTTGTGTAGCAAGGCTCTGGGGAAACTACCAGAAAAAACTGGATGTAACTGAATGTTATAAAACATCATGGTATGGGTAGATAAACCACAGGATACACTGGAAACCCAATCCCAGCAATTAATAAATAATCGTTAAAAATAAATAGATAAATAATCATTGCTTTTAGAAATTCTGGGCTCTGGAGTATTTTCTTACCTTTAGTTATGCATGTGAAGTAGTCATTATCTCCTTCTTTTGTTGGTTCACCAGCTGCTTTCCGTTTGTCCGGGTGATGTTTTAAAACCATTGCTTTATCTACAAAATAAGCCAGATTTAGATCATTTGTCACTTTGGGCATCAAACCTAAAAATAAAGATGAGTCATTTCTAAAATCATAGTGCTAATTTAAAAATACTTTCTCCTATGGTAAAATATAAGCTTACTAAATGTAGGAATTACACAGAAAAAATTAATTATTTTATGAATTGGCCAAAACACTAGCACCCAAAGACAATTACTGTTAAGATTTTGGTGTATTTCCACACATAATTTTTTTCCTTATGCATACTCTTGAAAAAAATGTAGGTATAATCAGGTTGTATATACTAATTTATATCTACTTTTTGCAACCTGACATTACAGCATTTGCATGTTACAAACTCTCCAACATTATTTTTGAATGATTGCTTAGTTCAGTACTTCAAATAGATTTATTTTAATTTGATTATTTTCCTACTGTTGGATCTTATTTCCAGTTTCTCACTATTATAAATAATATCAAGTTTAATCATTTTGTAGAGAAGTATTTTTCCATACTTAGGATTCTTTCTTCTTAGGATATACTTCTAGAAGTAAAACGAGTGAGTGAAAATGTAGGAACAAATTCCTTTTTAAAAGTTATACCACTTTATACTTCTATGTGAACATCCTTTTTACCAAAGCCTCACCAGCACTGGGTATAATTGTTCAAAACTATTACTGGTGCTCAATAATTTTGTTTTTTGTTTTGTTTCTATCTTTCCTCTATGGAGGAAAAAGAGGTTGTCTTACTTTTTCTTCTTAGCCTGTGTGAATCACTTTATAATAAAGAAAGGCTAGTTGTTAACATCCATTGAGCCTTTAGTACCAGGCCCTATTTACCAATCTTCTCAGTAACCCAAAAGGAAAGTACTATTATTTCTCCATTTGATAGATGAGCAAATTGAGGCAAAGAGAGGTTAAGAAACTACAACCATTGCAACCTGTCCCAATTCCTGGCCCAGTCGGGCTCCAGCCTAGGCAGCCTGTCCCCATATGGTGCCTCTCCTGGTCTGTCATGTTTGATGCTAATGACTTTCCCAACTGCTGTCATTACTGATTTTAAAAATAGTCAGTCATTTTTATTTATTATTTACTGATCCAATTTCCTTTATAATTTCTTCTACTGTATATAAATTTAGAAGGTGCTTCCTTCTCCTAAATATGATATATGCTTTCAGGTTCATTAATATTTTCTATGGTTAGAATTGGAAATTCAAAAAATTCCTCAAATCTTTTTGGAATGTTAGTATAGGCAAGCAAATATCTAAAATTATCATTCTGAGTCCTAATAATCATCTAATAATCCTTCCGTCCCCCAGTGGTTTATGATGCCTCCTTTCTCATGGTAAATTTTACCAGGGTTTGTTTCTGGTTACGTATTCTTGCCCCAGGATTATCCTTAAAATGACTACAGCTTTCTAATACATTGGTGGTAACTTCCTCCAAAAACTGTATAACTTTTCCTGCATCTAGCCACTTGACTAGGTTTCTAGGTAGATCCTACATTTCTTTATGTTTCTAGGTAGATTCTACATTATTTACAAATAATATATTTCTTTCTTTCTTTACAACAGTTCTCTTACTTAATATTTTAATTTGCCAATCCACACTCCCAAAATAGCATAAAAAATAGTGGGCAGGTTAGCTTCCTCTATGGATTTTAAGAGTAATATTACTAATGCCACATGGTTAAAAGCTTTTTGGGTGTGGGTCTGAAATACTTATCAAAGTATGGAATTAACTGCATTTTTTTAAAAAAGTTCTATTTATTAAAAAGGAGTGTGTATTAAATTGTATTGTACATACTTTCATTATCTTCTTAGGAAATCATACTACCTAAGCTATAAACAGAACTGATTTTTATATAGTTCCCCCCTTTTCTAGATACATTAATATATATCCTAAGACGGGTTCCTAAGAAAGATGCTACTTGTTCACAGGTTTTAGTCTTCTAATATACTGTTAAATTCAATTTGTTATTTTAACCGGAATTTTTTCTTTTGGGTGTTACATTCATGGAAGGTTTGTTTGGAGTAAAGTTCTCTTTGCCAGGTTTTAAAGACTTATTTATTCATTATTATTTTTAAAGAAAATTAAAGTTAGATTAGTTTTAGGTGTATAGCGAAAGCGAGAAGATGGTACAGAGATTTCTATATGCCCTCTCTCCCCACCACATGCATGGATAGCCCCCCACTGCCCTGTCTCCATCATCTCCATCACTGACCAGAGCAGGCCATTTGTTAGAACTGATGCATCATTTATCACCCCAAGTCCAGAGCTCACCTTAGGGTTCAATCTTGGTACTGTACATCCTATAGGTTTGGACAAATGTTTAATGACATGTATCCTCCATTAAAGTATCAAACAGAGGATTTTCACTGCTTGAAAATCCTCTGTGCTCTGCCTGTTCATCTTCCTCTATCTCACAACCCCTGGCAAACATGATCTTTTCACTGTCTCCACAGTTTTGTCTTTCTATGCCAGGTTTTCATACTAGGATTACATTACTTCACAACACAAAATAAAGTGTTCCAAATATGTTCGGCATGAGAATTTTCAATTCCTTAAATATTTGGGGCAATTCACCTGAAATGTCACCTGGGTCTAAAAATATTTTTAGGAGGTAACTCTTTTGTAACTTTTAAAATTCCTTTCAATTTCAAAAATTGTTAATTTTGTCAAAATTTTCTAACTTGTTGCATTTAATAGTGGTCTCAAAAATATTTACTGTAATGGTTTTCTTTCTATAGTTCACTACTTTTTTTCTTCTTATAAACCCATCTTGGATACTGTTTATATCTCTATTTTCTTCCTCCATGCTCCTTTGTTCAATTCTTTTCAGCAGTTGAATTGAATGCCTTTTTCATTTTTCCCTCTTTTTTAAAAATGTAACACCATACTTCAAGGCAATGACCTCACCGATGGTATAGCTCTGACATCCCTTAAGTTTTGATAAGCAGTGATCTTACTTTTGCAAAAAGAATCTATTACTGTACTTTTTTTTTATCTGTCTAGGCCCAAAAGAATATATTTACTTTCCCAAGAAACTTCTTTTTTGCTTTGTTAACCACATCTATCTTATTGACATAAAACTTACATAGAATAAGACACACAGATTGTAAGTATTCAGCTCAGTACATTTCAGCAATTGTACACATCCACGTAATTGCCACTGAAAAGAAAATACAGACCATTTCCATCACCCATAAAGTTCCTTTTTAACTTTTTCCAGTCAACTCCTACCTTCTACCACCTGGGGCAGTCCATTCTGATTTCTATCACCATAGATTACTTTTGCATGGTCTCTGAACTTCATTAAATGGGATCATACAGTATGTCTTTGTATCTAATTTATTTGGCTCAACACAATGTTTTGAGATTCACCACCATTTTTGCATGTATTAGTAATTTTTTTTTTTTTTTTAGCTGAATACTATTCCACTGTTTGAAAATACAGCAGTTTGTTTATCCATTATCCTGTTGGCGAACATTTGGGGAGTTTCCAGTTTTTGGATATTGTGAATAATGCTGTTATGAACATTTTTGTACAAATCTTTTTATGGTATATTAAATTTAGTGATTTTTGCATATACAGCAAGACTTTAGAAACTGTTACTTTTGAATAAGATGAATTTCATAAACAGAAATTTTGGTTTTTTGAGCTTCAAGTTTTTTTATAGTTGAGCATATTACCAGTTCCTCCAACACTCAGAAGTGTGTTATTTAAAAGAGGCATTTTTGCATTCTAGCTGGCTTAAGCAGAAAACTAATTTGTTAAAGGTTATTAGACATAGATTCTCTGTGAGAGTCAAACTCAGGCTTGGAAGCTCTGCAGTAAGGAACAGTAATCAAAACTATGCTGGCGAGTGCACACGTGTGGTGATCTGACTGCTGCTGGATGCTGCAGGGACTCTGCACAGGCTGCTTCTCCTGCCAGGGCAGCAGTGGGGATGGCCACTAGCTTTGAGGTACTCTCCCACCATGGCTGGCAAAATGGATTCTCTGCAGCTCAGCTTAACTCACACTGTTCTCTGAATTTTATGTGTGTGCTGAGTAGTAAAACCTAAGTCACACATATACATGCTACAAACATTCTCAATCTCAAGATGTATCTTTTTATAAATCAGCTAAGTTTTCTTCTTTATTTGCAATTATTGTTTGTTACATTTATTCTGACTTCTTTAGGGATATCTAGCATCTTTTTTATTCTTTCCCTATGAACGTCGGGAATATTCCTCAAGGTTGTCCTCTGCTTTACTGTGTTTTCTATTTGTACATCAGCCTAGTAGTTCTAAATTCTGCTCTTATGCTTTTAGTTTCCAGGCAATTCTACTTATTTCTCCCTATCCTCTTTCTGCAATACCTACACTGCCACCCCACCCACCGTGCAATGGCTTCATAGCTCCCTGATGGCATGTAATAGATATTTAAGTTTTCTTTTGAACTTTGTGCTGAAGGCTAAGAGAGGTGATGTTTCAAGTTTCTGTTGCATAGTTAAGCTGAGCTGTTTTTTCCTTCATTTTCTTTTCTGCCTAATTGTCTTTTGTCATCCTAATTATCTTTACTCACACATTAGGGGTTCCTACGATTGTCCTATACTCTGTCCCTGGGAAAGGAAAAGATGTTTTCTAATATTAAAAACAAGGTAAAGGAGACCAAAGAACACTTTCAGTTTGAAAAAGGAACAAGGGTAATTTAAGAGCAGCTGTTTTAAGTTCTCTGAAATTTCAAAGACATCCTGCTCCTCTCCTCTCCTCCCTCCACCAAAGAGTTTCTGAGATGTTTTGCAGGTACGTCAGCAAAGGGGCTTTTATTGACATTTATATTGCTATTATAAAATGTCTCTAAGTATGATTTTCAATTCATAAGAAGCCTGATATAAAGGTTTTCAGTTTAAAATATCAGAAATATTTTAAACTAAAATTATTAAATTTAGAAAATTCAAATCCCAAAGGCTTTACCTCCATGCAAAAAATACCAAGCCTACATGCATCATTTGCCAGTGTGGCAGTTTTACTTCAGGAACAAAATTAGCTTAGCAACCAAAATACCACTTTAAGTATTCAGTACTTTCTTTTAACCCATTATTCAACTTTTCTAGTAATTTGTTCTTCTTAGGTAAGACAGAGAAGGGGGGAAAAAGCATTTATTTTATTCACCCTTAATTAACTTACTAAATTTCATGATAGTGACTCAAAATACATTAAACAAAAATAAAACTCTTTTATGTGTGTGTTTGTAATAGGATATGAGAACTCCAAGGACCTCCACTGCTATCAGACTTCTGTTTTCATTAGTTTTGTGCTGGTAACTATAGATTTGCAAACACTAAATTGCATTTCTACTTTTGGACTACATTTCAGAAAGCAATAAGTAGCAACTGTCTATTTTATAGTGACAGAAGACAAAGAGTTTCCTTCTGAATATATACTAAGAATATTAAACATGGTAGCAAAGAGTGAATTATAATTCCATTTAATGTTAACGATCTGTACCCTATGGTTGGAAAACCTTTGGCTACAGATAATTCAAAACTTAATTTCTGTTATGCCAATTAAAAAAATGAATTCTTTTTAGCAAACATGTTCCGTTTATAAATTATTGTACATTTTTTATCTTAAAAGAAACAATTCCTTCACCTTCAAATGCCAACTACTTTCATAGTTCTAAAACACTTCTAATTCTTTCAAAAATGTATCCAGAAATATTTAGCATTTGTATGATACTGTTTCATGTAGTAAGATTTTGAAAATACTTTCCCATGGCAAATGAATTTTCCTGGCATTTATGTATATTGCAATGATTATTCACACGCATTAACATTTGCTTAATCTAAAGTGATGTCAGCTAAGGAAATCCAACAGTAGGTCTAAAATAATTTCATGAATTCCTTCACCCTGTTAAAAAATATTTCCTGTGATTTTCCTAAATATAAGGTTAATGGAGAAAATTTTGAGTTTATCTACTAAAGTTAGTCTCAACTGTTTCTCAACATGACACAGGTCTTGTTCAGCCATCTTCCTCCAAATATAATACTTTCTCTTCTTGACTGGCCTTGACTTCTTACTTTTCCATATGACCACAATCTTACCTCCTCTGACCTCAATATCCATTTTCTAGAGTGGAGGGCAGGACATTCTCCTAAGAGAAGCATGGAATACCAATCACCTTCACCTCTTTCATTAAATTTTATTAATTAGGTGAACCAGATGGTCTATGGAATTATGTCCACAGGGATGCAAAAGACAGGGCATTCAGGAACACTAAGGAGACGGCGTATAATAAGGCACATGAAGACCAGGTTCTCAACAATGCCACCCCCACCAAATTTTTAACCTCATCAATGAAAAGAACAATTAAGCGTCAGATAACTATTTCTTGGGCAGAAGAGACAGGATGATATCAGTAAAAGAATGACCTAAGATCACAAAATAACATCAAAGAAACCTATTTTACAAGACAGCTTCCAACAAATAGAGCTGGTATACTTCTAAAGGGAGGTGTAAAAAGTAGAGAGGAACTATTTTGTAAAAGCTTGCCATTAAAGAATGTTCTCATCTTGGACACAAACACACAGATACCCACTCCCTGATTTTTACTCTCTAATGAGAAAGTCCATGCATGACACTGATCATCTTTTTCTGGTTCTGAAGGTAAAGGAGACTGTGGTTATACACTGTTATAACCATATAACACTAACACATGTGGTTAAATCTAGATTACAGACTACGATCCTGCGTATCTTTTCAAAAAGATAACATTTCCTGACCAGCTATTATTTCAAAATAACTAGGTACTCACAAGCTGCTTTGATTTGTCTCTGTGTAGCTTTGTATCTTACATGGCCAAGTCCAAGTACTGCATAATGATCTTGGTTCTGATAAAGACACAAAAGAGTCACACTTGAAACAGAGCAATATAACCTATCCCATGTGTTGGTATCCTAAAATAGTGCTTCCCAAAATAATACTCCCACAATAGGGGTCCAGTGAGATGTTCTGTGCAGGATGGTTCTGTGGTATATAAGTTTGGGAAATGTAGATTTTTGTATAGTCTTCTTGATTTGTATGCATATAAGCCTGATAAAGGCTCTGAGAAGTCCTGCAATTAAATAAACAAGCAAACAGAAACCTGTAAAACCCAGCATTTTCCAAACTTATTTGACTACAGAACCTTTTTTCTCTTAACTCTTATTAATATCATATGGCCATCCTTAAATCAAGGAATAGCCTGGAAGATTTGAGAACTGAGGGGAGCATTATAGCTACCCCAGGGGACTGGGCCAGTGTCAGTGATAGAATGGGACTAAGAACAATTTGGAGCAAAGAAGGCAGGTTGGAAGGAAATTTTGAGAAACTAAAGGATGAGACTTCTCTGGACAAGTGCACCTGCTTTCATCTTTGGTTAACATCCTTGAAAATTTAGAAGTTGAAGTAGCAACTGTAGTCAAGGCTCTATACAGACTCAGAGGATGTATCCAGTACTAGAGAATTAGTAGGGAGGAAGGTGAGTTGATGGCATGAAACAGGGGAGACAAGTCACATAGGGCTGATTGGTTTCCCTTTAAATTCAGGATTGCAAACTTCATATAGATGGGCCCCCTTACTTTTTCCTCTCCCTGAGGCCACTATTTGATATATCTGTCCACTAATCTTTCCTCAAACTTCACAGACCCTTTACCACCCTTGCCTGCTGCTTAACTAAAAAATTTAAGTTATCTTACCTTTCCTCTTGGCCTGAATGCCATTTTCTCTAAGGCACCTCAAATACTAGCACTTTTGTTATCTCCTAAATTTCAACTGGATTATTTTCATCAGTATAAAAAGGTGCTTTGTTATTGCTCATCTTTAAAAACTCTTCCATGACCCACTTTCCAGTTACTGCTCCATTTCTCTTCTGCCCATCAGAGTTATACTTCTTGAAAAAACCTGTCCATACATTTTTACTCCCTTAGCATTCATTTTTCAAACTGTTCCCATTGGTTCTGCTCTGTCCACTCCTATCCCAGATGCTATGAAGCTGGTCTCTTCAATATCAACCTCCAGGCACCAAATCCAAGATCACTCATCTGCTCTCATTTCACTTCAGTCTCCAGTGGCCACACAGCTGACTCCTCCCTTGAAAGATTATCTTCCTTGGGTTTCTGCAAATCCACTCTGTTTTCCTCCCACCTTCCAGGAGTCTTTCAGTCACTTCTACTGGCTCCTCTGTGACCTGCAAAGCTCAGTCCTTTTTTTTTTTTTTTTGTCTCTATTTATACTTTAGTCCTAGTTGATCTTATCCAATGCCAGAGCTAGAACACGGTAAATTCCCTGTATATGCTCAGGACTCCCCAGTTCACTGGAGCACAGACCTCTCCTCTGAGATCTAGATGCACAGAGTACCTCCACCTCTCTCACATCCTGGCTTGTCACTCTACCTTTGTCATTTATTTCCAAACACAAGATTGATGTGTCAGCCACTGAAGACACACACTCTTCCCCCTCACGGGCTATTCCCCCTGCCTGGCACTTTCCTGCCACTCTTCATGTGCCTGTTATCGTCTCATCCTTCAGTTTCAGCTGAAAAGTCATCACCTTATTTAAAATAGACAACTTCTCTCCCCATCTTGGGCACCGCCCCCTTTTTTTAGTTCCTCCAAATTACTTAACAATTGTCATTGCTTCAAACTGTCCAGTGACTTTCCACCGACTTCTACTCTTACTCCCTGTCCCTCCCCCCCTCCCTCTGTTTCAGCCACTTGGCTTCCTTCAGTTCCTGGCACCTTCCAGACTTCTCTGTCTGAACACCACTCTCCCTGATCTTCACACATCATTCACGTGCTACCTTAAACGTCAACTCCACAGGCCTTCCCCATCTACTCGGTCTAGAGCAGCCATCTGGACACTGTGACAGCACCCTGTTCTACTTCTTCAACCTCCTCTCAGCGGCCACTCCGCGCGCTGCACTGGAACTGATGCTCTGTGGGAGCCGGGATACCGTCTTGTTCAGCACAGCACCTTCAGCATGGAGAACAGTGTGTGACATGGAGCAGATGTCTGATCCTCATCTGTTGACAGAAACCGAATCTGAACCAGTCTATGAATGCTGATACTTGGTGATGTCATCAACTCTTTTCCATACCAAAGACCTTCCCCATTCTTTCTTTTTTCTTCCTTGCAGATCTCAATGCTCCCTAATTCTATCTTCTCTGACCTTGCCTTTCCCTCAAGTTACTATTTTCTCTCATTTTCTTTACCACCTAGCTGTAAAAGAGAGTAGTTTACACTCAGGTCTCTATCTCATCACCTCCCAGTCACTCCTCAACTCACTGCAATTTCTTGCTACCCCAACCATTTACTGGACCCATTCCAATGTGGTTCCCTAACCTTTGCTTGCCAAGCCCAGTGGCTCTGTCATAATTCATGTTATGTGACTGACCTCTCTGCAAAGCAGTAACACTGCTGTTTTTTCCTTTGTGACACTTTCCTCTCCCTTAGTTTCTAGAAGTGTCTAATGCCTGATGTTTAACCTTTGTTGAACTAACAACACCTTTTTCTTTGTTTTCTTTCACCCTTCTTAGTATCTTTGGCTGTTTCTCCCCTACCCACACCCATGCCTCAGACAGCCAGGCTCTTCAAGATTCAGTCCTTTTCTTTTGAAATTGATGATGACAGTAGGAGATCAGCTAACATTCTGAATCTTATTTCCATTCTAAGTGCTTTACACATATGCTTTACTGCATTTAATCCTCATAACTTATGAGATAGGAACTTTGTTAAGTATTTATCATGTCTCAAAGACTAAGTCAAGTGCTTTGTATACATCATTTCTATTAACCCTCATAAAATCCTTTGCACTGTTAGCAATCTCACTGCACCAAACAGACATGTTGAGCAACTTTCCCGAGGGCCCAGCACACTAAATGGGCAGAGCCAGGTTTGAATTCAAGTACTCTTAATTCCACAGTATATATTTAAGTATTATATTATTACCCACTGAAGTTTTATGATACCTATTTTTCCATATTCTTCTTGGCTGATGCCATTCACTTCCCCACTGTCTCAATTACCCTATGTGCCAATGACTTGCAAATGTTTGTGGCTCTCTCCATTCTTTTTTTCAAAGTCACAGACCCATTTTTAACCATCTACTAGAAAGCTTCACAAGTATGTTACCAGAACCTCAATTCTGGCATAGCCAAACTTGAACACAGATACCACAATCCCCACAAATTTCCCTTTCCTGCACCCCAGTGTTGATGACTGACGACACACTCTAGCAAGTCACTCAAGTTGGGATGCTCAGAGGGTCTTCTGAATATGTTCCATACAGCCAAGGTCACCAAGTCCTATCAAGTCTACCTCCAAAAAAAAGCAAATCTGTCCCTTCTTCATCAAAACCCAGCCACAAATTTAGTTCAGGCATTCAGCCAGAGGCCTGGGTTACTGCACTAACCCAATGACAGCAAACTATTCCATTTCCCCTCTAGCCCTGCCCTCCCTTTTCAAGAAGTTTTCTTAACTCCCAGGAGAATTACTTTTCCAAAATTAGCTTGGAAACTTTTGATGACTTCCTATGTCCTGAAAACAAAAACCTGAATTCATTCCTTTGTATACCATTAAAAAGGACACACAGAGTTTGGTTACAGGCCTGATTTCCCACCATCACCCCTCAAGCACCCTACCCTGCTCTTCACTAATCCCTAAACAGGTGGGACATATTCTTTTACTCCTTTGTATCTTTTCCTTCTGCCCAGCCTGCACTGTCTCTCTTCTCTGCTTCACAAACTGCCACTCATCTTTTTAAGGCCATCTCAAATAATATATTTTCTGTGAAATCTTCCTGGATTTCTCCAGCAGAGAAAGTATCCTATGGCTTATACTATCTTACTCTGGGCTTAGTAAGAAATAGGTGCTCAATCAGGGTTATCCTGTTGATGCATCTGAAAATAATGGTTTATTAATGGAAAACACATGGGGAGACTGTATCTAGTAAAGCATCTGATTGAAAGAAAGATTCAGATATTAAATAGTACCTTCCAGTCTTTGGGATCAAGTGTTTTCAGCATGGGAAACTCTTCTAGCTGCAATTCTTCATCTTCTGATTCCTCTGATAATTCTTATCCTCCAGTTCCTGAAAAGAGGAGGAAGCATTTCTGTTTCTCCTCTTAACAAAAGCTTCAAACCATCTTCCCACAGGTTCAACTTGACAGAGTTTTGAGGCTGTGATTGAAAGTGTTAAGAGAGGCTTCAATGTATTGCATAGAATACATCTGTTTAAAGGAAATAAATAAGATCAAAACTGGTATCATCAGAACATAATTTTAAACCCATCAATTAAGAAGTAATTTAATTACAGGCATACCTCAGAGATATTGTGGGTTCAGTTTCTGAACCCCGCAATAAAGAAAATATTGCAAACTGAATCAAATGCATTTTTTGGTCTCCCAGTGCACATAAAAGTCATGTTTACACAATACCATCATCTAGTAAGTGTGCAATAGCATTACATCTAAACAAAAATGTACATACCTTAGTTAAAAAATACTTTATTAGTAAAAACTACTAACCATTATCTAAGCTTTCAGTGAGTTGTAATCACTGATCCTGGATCACCATAACAAATATAATAATGATGATGAAAAAAGTTTGGAAATACTGCAAGAATTACCAAAATGTGACACAAAGACATGAAGTGAGTAAATACTGTTGGAAAAATGGCACCAATGGCCTTGCAGCATTGCCACAAACCTATTTGTAAAAATCTCAGTATCTGCAAGCACAATAAGATGAAGTGTGCCTGTAATCCAGTGACATGGTTAGCAATAAATACTCATTTCTTAGTATTTACAGAGTACTCAATCGACTTCTTCCCGTTATCTGACAAAACAAAATAGCAATGCCAACAAGAGATCAATATTTCTCTGAGGATATGAGAAGATGAACAGAGAGAAATGTTGCCAACTACTCATAGACCAGTAACTGTAGTAAAGCAATAAATAAACTGTCCTAAAGAGCTATCCTCATCAAAAACAAAATATCTTCTAAAACATCTGAAAACCTTGCATTCAGAACTTAAAACCTTGCATTCGGATAGCTTTTAAAGTTTGTATTAATTCATTATCAATGACTTGTTCTGAAAGACAATTTTCCGAGCAGCTAATGGATATTTAGTAACACAGCTGTGCTATGGTGGAACAAACCCTGGATCTGGAATCAGAAGCTCTGGATTTAGTCTGGGTATGACATTTTAGTAGCTATGTGAAATGATTCTGAGGTGTTACCAACTGTATAATGGGAACAGTACCTATCTTACATGGTTACTTGGAAGACTGACAGAAGGTGAAAACACTCTGATAATCACACACTGTTGTAAAAAACGTGGGAAGTGGGGGTAAAAAACTATACATTTACATGTTAACAATTCAAAAAAGGTAATCTGGGTCAGCAAAAAAGGTGAACATCTTAATTTTAATTTCATATCCTATATGAAAGCAAAAAGCTTTACTCTGTTCACTAATAACTCAGATGTAAGCCTTCCCTTGTACCCAATGGCAACAATTTTCTAAAAGTAACTGATTTTTCACAACTTAATTGGTTTGGGAAATTAAGATTTTCTCTACCTTACATAGGACAGGATTCAAACTCTGTGTTCAAGAAGTATTACCTGAATAGTGTGGGTGTGGTTTTTAAGAACAGCACCTTTCAAGTCTGTCCCTCGTTTTAAGATTCCACAGAGACTTCTATGAGCATGAACGCAACATGTGCCATGAGACAACGTTCAAAATCGCATTCAGCGAGCATCTATATAAGTAGCTATGGTAATTCACGTAAATCATTTAAACCAGAGGCTCTAAATTTACAATACCGACCGCCGTTCTGGATTATAAATCTAAGAACCTACAGCAACAGTACAAGTTTCACCTCTTGATTGCCTTTAAAAGTGCTCTGGCACAGTCAGGCATCAGCATGAGGATATAAGTTTTTGGTTGGACATAGTTTTCATCATTTGGGGCAAATACCTAGGAGTGGGATTCCTGAATCATCTGGTGTATCTGTATTTATTTGTATTAAGTTAGATCAGTAAGCCAAACTATTTTCCTGAGCAACTGTCATCCATTCAATTTTTAAAGTCAGAGCCTAGAAATCACTCTCTATCCCTCTCTTTCGAAACATAGTTCCCACGTTCGACTTATCTTCAGGTCTACACGGTTCTACCTCCAAACATAGCTACAAATGGTCGATTTCTATGCATCTTCACTGCCACCAGCTCGACATAAATCACCATTATCCCTTGCCTGGGTGACTTTAGGAGCTGCCCGCTCATCTCCTACGCCCTCTCTGCCCTCCTCACTGGAGCATATTCTCCACAAAGCAGCCAAAGTGATCCTTTTAAGACATTCATCTAATCAGGTAGCTCCCCACCTCAGGCCCCCACCAATGTCCNAAATTAAGATTTTCTCTACCATACATAGGACAGGATTCAAACTCTGCGTTCAAGAAGTATTACCTGAATAGTGTGGGTGTGGCTTTTAAGAACAGCACCTTTCAAGTCTGTCCCTCGTTTTAAGATTCCACAGAGACTTCTATGAGCATGAACGCAACATGTGTCATGAGACAACGTTCAAAATCACATTCAGCGAGAGTCTATATAAGTAGCTATGGTAATTCACGTAAATCATTTAAACCAGAGGTTCTAAATTTACAATACCGACCGCCGTTCTGGATTATAGATCTAAGAACCTACAGCAACAGTACAAGTTTCACTTCATGATTGCCTTTAAAAGTGTCTATACGTATCTATACCAGCAATAAAGGCAATAATCTTTTCATCCTAAGTATAAGGAGCGATGTCTGAGTTCTGACATTTAAAATCCTAAGCCGGGCAAACGTAAAGAGAGAGAAAGATGTTTAACACAGCACCGGCAGCGAGGCTTTGTAGGAGCACGTGGGGAACTCGCTGCGGCCGGTTTGTGCCGTAGGCAAGAAGATGATTATAAACCTTCTTAGGTACTGGGGGGTTCGGTCCCGAACTGCTCCTCATGATCCGTGAGTCAGCAGCCGAGAGAGGGGGAGGAAACTGCAAGGGCAGAAAAAAGCCACCCCCTTCCCTCCTTCCTCCGATTTGAAGAAGGGTTCCAGCAAGCAGGTAACGAAATGGCATTCGTCATAGACCCTCAAGTCGGAGAGTTAGTGGCCAGGGGCAAGAGTGGAGAGACTTCGGGCCGCCAAGGCGAGAGACTGAACCTGGGACTGCTGAGGTGGGACGGAGCCGGGGTTGAGCGGGCACGTACCAGAGGTCAGAGCGTGGCTGATGGCGGTGCCCTGGCCGTCCGCAGCGCTCGGCAGGAGCAGCATGGTGGCGCCGGGGCCAGCCCCGCGGGCGCAGCGGCTCGCGTGCAGAGCGGAGGACGCTTAGCGTCCCTTCCAGCTCTACCTCCCTGTCCGAGCCTCGCGCCTTGACTCTACGGCGCCCAGGAACCGGCGCATGGAGACGACCAACAACTACTTCCGGGATGGATCTTTCGTGGTGCGGAGGCCAATTCCACCCCCGCCCACCCCCGCCAACGTGTGCGGCAGCCTCGGTCCTCCACTGACTCAGAGCCGGCTGTGGACTAAGACTCACGAAAGAAAGGTTCCTAGACTTATCAGTTCGTGAGTAAAAACGATTAATTTCTTCGTCCAAGTGCCGTACGTGGAACAAAATTTTCTGAAGCAGCTCTTACTATATATTCTTTTGATTTTAAGTCAGTACTACGTTATATATTAGCCTGAATCTAGCCGCCGAGTTTTCCAGTAGCTCTACGTGTATAAATAAAAAAGATATATATGAATTAGTATTGAGAATAACTATTATAGTCTATACAATCATAGAGAATTCTATAAATATGCCTCTAAAGCATTTGCGTTTACTGAGATAATAGCAGCTAACATTCGTTGTGCTATTACTAAATAATTTACCTTTGTTATCTCATTTAATCCTAACATTTGAGAATAAATGCTTCTCTGGTGTTAGATTTTAATAGAAGGTTAGCAATCTTTTTACCCTGCCCTAACAGCGTAAATTCTGTTTCAAGATATACCCAATACAGGACTCTGGAAGTTGTCTAATGTACAGTAAAATCAACTGGATTCCTACTGCATGATTCCTAGGAGGACAAGTTAAAAGCAAGGACTAGCAAAGGGAAATCAGGGAGTGAAGAGTCCCTTCACCACCCCTCAGCAGTATCTGGAATAGGTTCTCAAGACGTGTGCGCCGTGTTGAGTGCCTTTTTGCTCCCTGCTTGCAGTAATCCTTCCTTAGGCTGGAGGAAGGAAGGAGGGGGGCGGCTTCTTTTGCCCTATAGTTTTTTTGGGGTTTTTTTGCCATTTGGCAAAGAGCACCAGAAATTAGTAAATTATTCTCCAGGAATTAAATTTTCACTGTTAAATACAGACAATTGGCCTGAATATATCTACTGCATGACAAATTGTCACTTTAAAATTGACATTTCAAAAACTAAGTTTACCATCTTCCCCTAAACCTATTCCTGATCCCTTTATTAGTGCAACCACTGTTACAATAGGATCTAAGGCTAAAAGTAACTCAAGTCCACCTTCTTAATATTAATGATTTTTTCCCTCCCACCTCCCACAATGTGTTCTCACCATTACCTCTAAGGTCATATAGAGCTTGTATTACTTGTGGTCAAATACACATAAAATTCACATCTTAACCATATTTAAGTGTGCAGTTTGGTAGTTTACTTTGTTGTGTAACCAATCTCCAGAACTCTTCATCTTGCAAAACTGAAACTCTGTACCCATTAAACGACCCATTTCCACCTTTCTGGCAACCATCTTTCTATTTTCTGTCTCTAAATTTGACTACTCTGGATACCTCATATGAATTGAATCATGCGGTATTTTTTTGTGTGACAGACTTGCTCACTTAGTATAATGTCCTCACAGTTGTAGTATATGTCCGAATATCTTTCCTTTTTAACATAAAATGAACATATAATATTCCATTTATGTATAGTTTGCCATCTGTCAGTTGGGTTGCTTCTACCTTTTGGCTCTTGTGAATAATGCTGCTATGAACACGGAGGTACAAATATCTCTCTGAGATACCACTTTTTATTCATTTGGGTATTTACCCAGAACTGGAATTGCTGGATTATACAGTAATTCTATTTTTAACTTTTTGAGGAACTGTCATAGTGTTTTTCAAAGCTGTTATACCATTTTTACATTCCCACCAACAGTACACAAGGCTTCCATTTCCTCCACATCCTCAGCAAAACTTATTTTTCTTTCCTCTTTTATTTTTTTGATAGTAGCCATTATAACAGGTAAGAGTCAGTATCTCATGGGTTTCATTTGTATTTCCAGGATGGCTAGTGATGTTGAGCATCTTTTCATGTGCTTGTTGGCCATTTGTGTATTTTCTTTGGAGAGATTCTATTAAAATCCATTGCCTACTTTAAAAACTGGGTTGTTTTCTTATTGTTGAGTTGTTCTTTATATATTCTGGATTATCAAATGCATGACTTGTAAATACGTTCTTCCACCCCATAGGTTGCCTTTTCACTGTTGTGTCCTTTAATGCACAAAAAGGTCAGCCTTTTAAAAATCTTTAAATTTCATGTCTAAATGTACAGTTGTGTCCTAACTGCTCTCTTCCCTTCCTCTCTGTCAAATTCATTTCTCTCAAAAACGTTTTCCCTGCTTCCCCTGGTATCACTATTCTTTGGCAGCAGTTTCAACAACTGAAACCATTTACCTCATCCCATTTAACATCAAATTAAACTGTGTATCTAGCCATTCCTTACTGCGTATCTAATATGCCAGGTACTTTCGAAATGCTGTTATTTTTAATGTGTCCACAATACCCAAAGGTAAAGGGAAAATTAAAGCACAAAAGTTACCCAAGCGTGCACAGTGAGTGAGTGAGTGACTGTATCAGGGTTTAAAGTCAGCGTCCGGTCAGGTTGACAATATTCCTTCCAACTGCCTCGTCCTGCGACCTAGTCCCCAGTGCCGATGCTCCCGGGCTTTCTTCCGCCTCCCGTGGGCGGAGCAAAAGGGCCAAGCCCCGCCTTGTTTCCGGTAAGGAAGGGAAAGGGAGGTGCCACCGGAAGCGAGGAAGGTGCACTGTAATCGCTGAGGTGCTGAGGCATTTGGGTCTGCGAAAATGCCGGACTACCTCGGCGCCGATCAGCGGAAAACCAAAGAGGATGAGAAGGACGACAAGCCCATCCGAGGTCAGGTGACGATGGCTGGAGCTCCGGGCCGGGCAGGGCCAGGTTTGACCCTGGAGGGGAGGCTGGATTGCTGCTCTGCGCTCTGTCCCCTTGTGCCTCCAGTGATTTCGTTTTGGGCGGCTGCCGCGTTAACCTGTCAATCTCTGGCTGCCCCATCCTACTCCAAGTTCTCTATTCATCTCTCGCTGATCAGAGTTCTTATTCATAACGCAGCATTCAGATGTTAAGGAAGTCAGCACCCTGCTTGGCCTTGCAGGCCTTGGAAAGTTCCCCCGCCAGGCGGTGCTTGGGCACCTGGATCCTCTTTTCTGCCCTGCTGCCCTTCAAGCGTGACCGCTCGAAGCTGTCACTCTGAAGCCAGGATCCTGAGACATAATTTTCTTTTAAGAGAAACATTCCTTTGACTAGATAGTATAATCACATGGTTCAAAACACAAAAGGCATAAAAAGATACATTGGAAAGTGTCTCATCCTTGGTCCCCGCCACCCACTTATCCACGCAGGTAACTAGTGTCGTCATCGCGTTATCTTTCTAGACATTTTCAATGCATATTTAAGCAAGTTTGCTTATACCTTTTACTTTTTACATAAGTGTAGTATGCTGTACATCTGTTTTCCAATCGCAATACATTTTCGGGGTAAGTTCGTATCATTTATAAAGGTCAGTGTCGTCTGTCTGCTTCTGCAGTGTCACACTTTATTGGTTGTACAGTAATGTAAGTAATTAATCATTATTGATAGACATTTAGATTTCTTCCAGGCTGATGGCAGTTATAGAGCAATTAATAACTTTTCATACAACTTTTACTACTGGCACAACCACAAGCTGTAGCATATATTTTAGAATGGAGTTGTAATTTTAATAGTACCAGATTGCTCTGCCTGAGTCTTCACCATTCGACACTTCTGTGCATAGTGCATGAGATATGCACATCATACGTGATTTCTTCCCGGTAGCCCCTTTTGTAGTCTCATCCTTAGGCTGTTTTCTCCTGTTCCTTGTAAGCTATTTTTAGATGTTCTTATGGTAGTTTTCTTCCTGTTTCTTACTCTTCCCTTCCTAAACAATTTGACTTCTCCTAGTACTCTTTCTTCTCCATTTCCATTCCCCCTAACCACCTCCAAAAATGATTTCCTCTCTACTTTAATCCTACAGTCACCTTCTTCCTGGGAAGGTATTTTAGGACACTGCAAACTTCAGAGGTACTCAGTCACCTAGTGAAAAACTTAGTCACAGAGATTTAACATTTCATCTCTGTATGTCTTATGTTATCATTCTGTAAGTGTATTAATTTTTTCCCTGAATATAGTTATGCTTAACATGTGTATAGACTTTTATGTGCTTCTTCATCCATATCTTATTTGATCTCTATAGAAACACTGTGAGGGTAAAATTAGTTTTATCTCTAATTTTGGGATGAGAAAACTGGTACCCAAAGAGATTAAATGGTTTTTCCAAAAATACTTGCTGGGACTAATGCCCACATCGTTTAGATTGGCAGACTGTTTTTTGAGCTCCCTATTCCTGTGTCACATACTTTGAGCCTCTTTCACAGCTATGTTACGTACTTTTCTATCTGCCTTCACCCAATTAGGTAAAAGTTCCTGGAGTCCAGGAACTATATGGTGGTTGCTTTTATATCATTACAGCTTTGTACAATTTTTCTCACTCATTAATGCAATTTGAATTGAACAGAAAGAATTGTTAGCTCTAGTTTCTTTTGTTTGAATCTCATGTATTATCTCTTTTCTTTTAGCTCTAGATGAGGGGGATATTGCCTTGCTGAAAACTTATGTAAGTCCCTTCAATGTCTACAAAATATAGATGTTTTATGTTGAAATAAGAACCACTGTTGATATTATCCTTCCAAAATAATTAGAAGAGAATGTCTAGCAATTTATGGTAATCTTCACTGTAAAAAATTACCTACCCAGAGTTTCTGTCTAAATCAGAGAGTAAATATTCAGCATGTCTAAGCTTGTACATGATTTTTGTACTATTTGTAAGTACAGTGTGGTACTACATTGAAAAATACTTGAAATAATTTGCACAAATGTTTACTACATTTTGCGTATATCTAACTGACTGAGATCTGAAGGAAAGTTTTAATGCTTAGAAATAGGCCTGTAGTTTGGATAATTTCAGGCATGATTTTCATTTGCTACCTTGTATAATGGTGTGCTGTCTATTTTGGGAAAAATATTGGTTCAGGAATACTGCAAATTATATACTCCCTTTCTCTACTTCCACTTCACAAGTTTGGGGACAGTAATAGCTATTAAGATTGTAACTGCTAAAGGTTTTTGTCTGTAGTTTAATAAATTGTTGATATCCTGATGTTCTAATTAAACTGATCTTTATCTCCTAG